TCCTGAATACGTGAGGAGATAATTTGTTTGCGTCGAGAAGACATCTTCTCGGGGTTCCCTCTAGTATAGTTGAAACATCTGGCCATGCTCGTCGTCTAGCCATGCCTTTTTGGGAGCCCTCCTTTTCAGCACCCACCCAGACAGGCCTGGCTAGTCACATTCGCCTCCTCAGTAGACGGTCGAGGTGTTCCGAGATCTGTGTCTTTAGGAAAGGGGTCAGATTCAGATCACTTGGAACACCAACTCTCGTTTACTGTTGACCGTCAAGTTCGGCCAAAGAGTCTGCGCAAGAACCGAGAACACCAGTTGTTGCACATCGCAAATGGAACGTCCGGACACCCAAGACTTTCGAGCTTCCGCCGCGTAGGGCGATGGAAGGTGATTCTATGTGATTCTTTTAGGCCCTGGACTCCTGGACCCCCGGAGGTTCCCCGCTTCAGAAAGTTCAGCTAGTCCTTCCGGAGTCCCCAGAAGACTGTGTCATCCGGTCTCCCGAGCTCCCGGCGCTCGGCGTGGTACCTCAGACCCGTCCGTCCGTCGAAACCTCCGTGACATGGCGACGGGCGGTCTACCCGCCAGGGCATCGTCGTTTTGTTTCGAAATGATGTTTGTTTTTGTGATCTCGCAAGTATTTGATGCAGTAATATGCAGTATGCGGATTTCAAGTGATCACCGAGACTGGACAAATGTGTGCGGCCACGGACCACAAATGACTAAGGGATCGCACATAACCTACTGACTGTTGCCTGATGACAAGTTGCCTCGCTACGTTCACCTGAATGAGTCTTCAGGACCTCTTGTCGTTCCAAAACAATAATGTGACATACAGTATGGGGGGCATGAAAACTGATCAAGACCATCTTAGCTGTTCTCACAAAACATGGAATACTCGGTCAGATCCCCTTTCACGTTTGGGCAGCTCCCTGATGCCCATCCTGCTCGTTTGGAAGTATGAAGAGTCTGGCCATCCAGGCAGAGCTCTGGACTGATGGTGCTCTTTGGACT